AAATGTAAATAATTAAGGTGAAAATGTAATGCTGCCACTTCAATTAACTATTAACATCTTTAATAATTATAGGAGGCGTAGATTATAGGTAATTGGGTGAGCTTTTCAGATATGGTAAGATTTTAGTCTACCTTTATTATTTACTAGGATAGTTCCAAGTAGTTTTTTTGAGCTTATGTTTAGTTGTCAATCTAGCGATTTCCCAGATGTTTGACTTTTCCAAGGAATTTTATTTGGCAAGTTTTCATGAGGGGTCCTGGGGATGTACCTGTTTGCAACCATGCCGTTATTTTAAAGGGTCTCTTAACTTGTAGGTATTATTAAGAGAACATCCTCATCATTTTCTATCATCGCCGTCTCCCTGTCAGCAAAGGGGATATTATATCAAACTTTTCCTTTTGAAATTCCGTTTTCACAATTTCCGGGAAACCAATAGGCCTTCCTCCTTCTATCTGTGACTCGTGCAGTACTTCTTTTCTTGTACTAGATCCATAAGAATAGGTTGCATCCCCTGATTCCGGGTATCCGCACTTGAGTCAGAGTTATAACTTTTGCTTAAACCAGTAGCTTCGAACTTCTATATCAAGCTTCATTTTCCTCTTATACCCCTAATGTTTCTTTTATGGATATTACAGGGCTTTCTCATAATAGATTTTTCTTTGCTCCCATCGATACCTCCCCCCCAGTTTTCAAGTTTATAACTTCTAGGTTATAAAACTTTCTATACGGTAGGATCAAAAATCTTAGTGCAACCACATCACGTTCAAGGGCCGGGCCCAAAAGTTTTTTTTTCGGGATTTGGAAGACATTTATCCTGTAGATGAAGATATAATACTCCAACCCCAAACATATTTAAATCGTCCAACTTTGGAGTCATTGTGAAAACCCTTCCAGGTGCCAAAGTATACGTATATATGTAAAGTAGCATGGCTTCTTGCCTTGCCCAACCTTGCCCAAAACTGGTTTTTAAGTTCAGTCTTGTGAACGAAGGTTTTGGCCATTTCCTCTAATATGAAAGCCGTAAGTTATTCAACTAACAGGTTACAAGATGGTGTATTAGGGGCAATGAAAATGTTTTTTGCAATCTCCTCTGTGGATATATTTCTTTGAAACATTTGTTAACAAATTCTTTTACTCATCGTTTTGACTGCCTTCGTTAAAGGTTTACTTTAGCACAGATAGTGCACTGGATTTCTTTTTAATTCTAAACCAAAGTTATATTTCAAAACATTATTTATTTTGTAGATGCCTCATTATGTCTTGCCATTCAAGAATAGATTACATTTGCGATGTTTTCGGATAAATAGTAATATCCATTGTTATGCCTTAGTACCACTACCAAACGTATTTTACTTTCCGATTCCATAAATTCAAGACTACTAGATTTCAATACACTTGCCTTTTTCTGAATGAAAAACCACCATATCACACTTTGGTCTCAAAGCCAGTTAACGTTTACAAGTTTTACAATTGCGTCGGGGTTGTACAAAATCCTACCTTTACAAAAATTACCTAAACATTTAACTTCCGACCAACCACTCTATCCGATTATCATGTTCTTTATCGGTAGGAGTTCGGGAATATAGCTTTTGTTATTAAAAATGTGACAACTGGCTCTGGAGTCTAGATTCATTCTTCCCATTATTTTTGGGTGATTGATCGTGTTTAACTCTACAGTAGTCGCAGGGGTTTACAGATCTGAAAATTATTTTGCTTTTAAATTTTCAGGTTATATAACAGTTAATTTAGTGTGACTTGTATCTTAATATCTCAATAAACGACAGGTGTTCAAAAATTTATTGTATTTTTTATTTAGTATAAAAGTAAAAAATTTAATACTCAAAAGGCTCGGGTGACCTATTGCGGCTGCTAATATCTAAAAAAAAGGTGCGACTACTGCAGAGTTAAGTCAAGCCCTCTCTTACTTGCCTTGTTAGGATGTGCGTAATTTATAAGTTTTGCAGTCCCTCCGCATCTCAAACACTTTAACGCATTAAAATTACTGTCGTAATTACCCTTACCGCAGGATATAAATCGTTGTGTTCCATTGGTCTCTTTTCTTAAATTATTAAAGTGTAACATGAATCGCTTGCTTTTAAAGCAGGTTCTTCACTGTAAGTACTCATTTAACTTTTCTCTTTCATCATGACTTCTTTTTAATATCATGTCTCTTTCAGTCTTCCATTCGTGATCTGATGGAAGAGCCCCTAAAAAAAAGTTTAGTTATCTTCCACCTCTCTCATGCCGCGTGTTATTAGTAACCCTTTAGATCACTAATCGAGTATATTTTGCTTGGTTTGAGCTTTTTATCAATTGTTAAGCCCTGCAGCCAAGAATGAAAAAATACAAGACAGAGAATAGGAAATAGGAGAAAAATCCCATAATTCTTTTATTAAATGTACATATATATGTATATGGTCCGCTAGTGCAGTAATCCAAAAAAAAAAAATTACATCATGCAATTTACTAGCGTTTAAGCCTCCATGATGGGTTACCAAGGAATCATTATAACAAGATTAATTCCATCTGCTAAATATTGCACATCTTCATTCCCTTTCTTTACATTCCTAACTCCTTCCCAAGAGCTAATAACATTTCTGCTGAAGCTCTATCAAAATTGAAAGTGCGCCATCTGTAATTCTTTCGGTTTGTAGGCAGTTATTATAAGATCGGCGCCCATTATTTTACATATTGCACTTATAAGACTTTTGTCAATTTTATTTACAATTACGCTGTATGTAATTTTTAATTTTCGTTTTATCATTACATAGAATACTTGAAAGCTTTAATAACATCAGCTTTTAAAAATTGTGCTTCCATTTGAAGGAACCAGGATGACCAGTCTGTTTCATGTTTCAGTTTTTTTAAACAAGCACCTACTCCGATATACGATATATTGTCCAAATTTCGCTCTTTATTTGTAATATTTTCTTTGCAAATATATTTAGTATACGCTTTTTATTAAACTCAGTATCCCTGGCTATCAATTATTAATAATTTAAAAAACCGAGCTATTAATTATTATAAAAATAAAGATTTAATAGGTTATCTGCTCAGAAAACGTTATATACACTTACAGTGTAAGGCAAAACAAAATAAGAAAATAGCAACGGAGTGCAATCCATTAGTCTCGTGCATTTGATCATGCTAAAGTAATTTCCACTCTCACGCTCCTTATTAGGATGTGCGTATTTTATTAGTTTTGCTCGCCACATTTTTCGATTTCGTGGAGTTTTATGTCAAGCACTAAAAAAATATCATTTACCAAAACTTGAAATATTCATCTCGAATATCTCAAAAAAAGCGAAAGCCTCCAAGGTCATATTTCGCTAATTGTTTTAAGTTTCCCCGGAAGCCAATCTTGGACGCTTAAAACGCTGCTAGAATCCTATGATACATTTTTTTAGATTATTTGGTCTAAAAAAATGTATGATTATTGCACTAGCGGACCACATATATAATCATATACACAATAAAAAGTCGATGGATTTCTTTCCTGTTTCCCACTTCTCTTCTACGTTTTTGTTAGTACTGTCAGCATGGTCTAGTAATTGATTAAAACTCAAACCAAAAACAAACAAATAAACTAAACCAACTTAATTAGTGATCTAAAGGGTTGCTAATAACTCTAAGCATTATTTATTAAAACACATATGTTAGCGCTGCAAAGTTCATTTCATAGATGATCTACTATTTACAAATTCAATTGTAGGTTTTCTCTGATATTCATACCACTAAGTTAAATTTTTTAAGCAAATTCTCAGTATAATAAAGGCTGCTCCGTTGTTTCTAGGTATACTTAATTTACATAGTGTTTAACAGTCAAGAACAATTAATTTTTTTTTCTTTAAATGGAGAATTGTAATTTACTGGATTAAACTAAGCAACCCATATCGCATATTATAATCCCGAACCTCGACTAATCACCCTAACTATTTGTATTGCATATACTTTGTACTTGGAAAGAGGTAAACGTACATGCTTTAACAGATGAACATTATTTAATGTTATCTGTAGTTCGTGTTTTATAGCGTTCATTAAATAAACCAAATTTTAAAAACAGATACACGAGTAACCATTTAATTATTTTATATCCTCGTAAGCATATATTATATATAATAAAGTAATAATTTTTTTTATTATTAAAATTATTATTTATCTCATTTTATCTTTATTTATTAATTATTTTGAATTGATTTTACTGATTAATTGAATAAAGGCTGGCCATTCCTGCTACGAAGTTAGGACTTTTTAAGAAAATTACTTTCTTTAGGAATTTTTTCTTTCCCGGGCAATTATTTTTTCACTTCTATTTATTTAGTATTATTATTTTGAAATATTAGATTTTTCTTAAGCATTAATACTATTAATAAAGTTGTTATAGAATTGTAGTGGGCGTAGGAAATAGAATTTTATTGAAAAGTTGGCAAGAGGTACAGTTGGGTCTTTTGCACCAAAATAAAAATGGAGTACTTGAGGATAATGTAAAAGGTCAATTGGTTATAAAAGCTGTCTTGCTGACAATAGTACAATAGTATTAGCGTAAAAAGTTGAATGCTATTGGGATTTTAAACCTCTTGTAAACATGTTATACAATAGTTAATATAAAAAAATTATAAAATAATATTTATTCTAAAAATAAATAAAGTTATTCAAGTTTTAAATAAGTTTAAATATATAAAAAAAAGATAGTAAAAGTTAAGATACAATATTTCTTTCGAAATATACATACCTCCAACAATTACAATACTGCAAACGCACACTTGACTAGTAGGCAGCGTACAACCCGTTAAAGCTCAAGCAGGTCAAGAACTTCCGATCTTAACGTAACCAATTAGAGAAGTCCCTTTCAACAACTGACACGCGAAGAAATGCGTTACGTTCCTTCGCATATGCAACAGGTTTGCTGGATTTGTGTCCTTTTTGATTATAAATAAAAAAAAAGTTTTTAAGTTGGAGGATTTTCTTTGCAAAAGCTATGCGTTTATTTATTAATGATTATGAATCTAAATAGTGAAAAAGTTTTATTTGGTGAAACAGTGGGGGAGTACATCCAGCACGGTCTGGCCAATACCGGTTTTTTTCTTTGTTACTTCTTGTAAATTTCTTATTGTCTAGAATTAAGTTATTTATTTATCTTTGATACTTATATAGACCCCCTTGAATTTATTAAAGATTTTCAGGCTGCAAATAATTTACATGCCCCCACCTGTAAGCCGGTCTTGTCCTTTCTGGATATGTTTAATACATCTAGATTAGCTTTACATAAGCCTCTTCTCTCAATCTTAAAACAACTACTACTGGAATGCATAGATAACGCCAGTCTAGAAACGTAAATACTTATTTTCTCTAGCTGAGACCTACCACTAGTTTGCCTTTTTTTCTTCTTAATAATAAACTAATTTTATGTACTCTTCTTAAAATTAACGTATAGAATAGAGGAGCTACTACTTCAAACTTTTTCTTATATTCAGCATGAAGAACTTCAAGATATTCCACTATATGTGATGAGGAAACTTCCTAAACTTTCTTCTACAATCCTTGAACAGTTAACTTACAATCAAGAACTATATGAGGTTATTATTAGCGTTTATTTAAGTATAAATCACTATGTAACTTTTATTAGCTTTGTCCTCTTGAAATTAAACGCCAGATTTGGCTGCTGGACAACTGCGAAGCATCCAAGGTGGCTTCAATGTTGCAATTTTTATAGATAAATTGTTTTCATTGAGTAATTTTTGCTCAAACGTTAGCTTTTTCGAAAGCACGTATTTTCATTGTTTTCGAATTTTATTCGGGATTTTGAAATTGTAAAAGCGGCAGGTATTTTTAAAGATTTTTAGCATATAGTTATATTGCCGAGTGTTTTTTTGCTATAAGTTAGTTAAACAGAAACTTTGTAATTAGGTGATCTTGAGAAATGTGCGATGCCTCCGCACAATCGCTGGTTTAATAATTATTGCTCACTTTTTTTAAAAAACATTAACTTTTTTTTAGGCAGCATCCTTCTATTTTAAAGTTGACAGAAGCGGTTGGCGTGAATTTCAAGATGTACGACCTCGTTGTTGAGTCGATCTGCAAACTATTCGAGTCGACCCGAAATCGGCTGTTTTGCACCCTTCGAGCCGACATTCTCATGGCCCTTCACTACAAAGACAACCCTGTGAGCACGTGCTCTTTGCACGTGTTTGTGTAATACATAATTTCCTTCAGCTTTGCAGTGAAGACATGTGCTACACTCTAGCGTGGTGCCTGGACGGATGCAAGCGCGACGATGTGGTTGACGACCGCCGCCTTTCAGAGTTGCAGGCCTCAAGCAGATCTTTATAACTTTTCCTTTATAACTTCCAAAAAAGCAGACTTTCTATGGGAATCTTGAGAGTATACCTCAGCGTAGCAAGTCTCTTGTCTTGAGGTATATTTGTTACAAAGAGAATCCCACTTTTCTTTTGGATTATTTTCAGCGATGCGGGGATGCTCTTTTTAGATCCCTTCACTTCCAACTCTTTTTATCGTAACATCTATAAACTCTTGCTTGAGTGCGCGGCCAACCGTCAACTTCCAAAGGCATTGTTTATATAATTTTAAATCCACTTAAAGCTGGAGTAGCTTCACGCGTTTCACTGCTTTCTTTTTTTTATAGGAAAACACAAAAGTTTCTTTTTTAGGTTCTCTTGTGTGCTTTGGTCTTCAAACTTTTAATATTATTAAGGAAGAACTCACTGGTTTTCTTTTTTTTTTTTCCTTAAGATTAATTTTGTTTATCTAAATAATACTTGGACTATTCTACAAGAGGTGCTCGAAATTCCAGGAGAAATCACCAGCGAATTTCTGCCATTTCTTATGCTTCTAATAACCGATGTCGAATTAAGGGAGAGACAACTCGAAGCGGGCAATACTGATTTCCAATTGGTCCTCTTATTGCTCGGGAGCGTCACTTTTTTATATTACGGCGGTTGCAGGAAGATATCGAGTCCGAGGAGAAAGTAACGGAGCTCCTTCGGAACGAGGAGTTCGCTCAGAAGGTATTTGCTAGTTCCCATGCTGGTCTACTAATATTACCGGGCACGCCAGCTGCTGGGCCTCCACATGCTCGACTTGGTGGGAAACGGTAAGAGCGTGGAGCTGGCCAGGCTAACCTCGTGGCTGGTCAGGGCTGACTTGCCGCTGGACTTTGAGGTTCTTAGCACACTCATCCTTAAAGTAGGCGAAGTGGTATGCGTCAGTGCGTGGCTGCTCGCTCATTGTTTTTTTGAAAGTTATGAGCACAGAGCGACATCATGAACACCATGCGCGTTTGCCTGCTGGACCAACTCTTGATTCCCAAGGCGGCTGTCGACGAGGACGTGCACTTGCAAACCGTGGGCCTACTATGCGCCCAGCACCATTTGCTGACATCAGGCCAGCTGCAGACCTATTTAAAGCGGTTGTGCACATGCGAGAGCAGGCATCCGCTCTCTGCCGAGGTACTGGTTAGTGTCCCGCCAGCCAGACTAAGTCACTTACACTTGCATCCCCCTCCCCGCGCGGGCAGGGGAAGAGAGAACTCAAGGAAGCCTACCTTGAATTGCGGGAAGTTATCGGCCAGAAACTCCCCACCGACTGCATTGAGAACTACATCACCCACGTGTTAGACGACCCTCAAAACGACGTAGAGGTCAACGAGGAGGAAGCGCGGAATTGCTCATAAAGAACCTCCGCTTTTTATTAATTGATACTATTAAAGTTAACCCAACGTATACACACGTATTATAGTAAATATTGATCCACTTCGAAGGCTTCATGCCGCCCGTAAGCGACTAAGAACCGAGGAAATCTGCTCGGCTTGGTAGGGAGTCACGTGCTTGAGTAGAGAAATGATCGTCTGGCAGGCAAGTTGCTTGTCTTCCAGGCACATGGACTCTATCAGCCCCTCTCTGCAGTCAATCAGCTAACCCGCCAGAATAAGCAAAGGAGAAATAAGAGCGCACTGGAGGCTCCTTTGTACTTCCGTTATGTTTCTATCAATCACATCTTTAAAGTCACTGAACCAATGGACGACCTGACAGCCGCTAGTAAGCAATGCCAAAGGGAGGTAGGAGTCGTGCAAAAACCAATTTGTTGCTGTTCCAGAGGTCCGCTCCAGCATCTCCTGTAGTTTCTACCAGCCAACGCCTTAGCATAGATATCACGTGCCCATGTGCTAGCGTGCCATTCGCCTTGTCGAGTAGTGTCAACAAGGTCGCGCATGAGAGCGGAGGCAGCGTGTGCTCATGTACATTCTTTAGTCTTCTGTAGACCTCGAGCTCGTGGATTCTACGTCTCAGTCTCCAGTATAAATACTCTCTTGAAGTCTTCCACTCCAGAATTCTCGAGATAACTCTGCGACCAGTAGTAAGCTACCATGCCGTCGGTAGAGACGCCAGCATACCCTTTCTCTCTCATCCTAGAAGTGGTGTCGTGCAGATCCGCAAAGTGGGTCGCCACCTTTACAAGAATAGCACGAAAGGCTCGCGCAAAGCATGGGATTGGTTCAAAGTTGGCTACCTGGTGGTATATAGGGCCAATCTCCTGCTCTCTTGCAGTCAACTCGCTCTTGCACTTCTCCAGTTCGTTCTCTGAAGCAATTGAGTCACATATACTGAGCCAGTGAGTGCTTACAAAACCAACCCGGCCCTCCCGGAGACTTTTCCAGAGACTCTTTTTTAAGGAATAATTCCTTGTAAACCGAATCGAGCTGCATCATTTTCTATTAACGGCGTGTTGGGAACGTTCAAAAAGAGTAATAAATCATTAAAAACCCTTCGCTGCTCCGCGCGGCGGAACTTTATTTCCACGGTGCCTTCGGGCTCGAGAATACCGCCTAAATAAAATGCCCTTAAATAAACAGAGCAAAACCTCTCTTATTATGCGACGACCTCGTGCGCCCTCAGCAGCGTACATCTCCACCATGTCCGGGTTGATGGCCGGATCTACGACCACCCAAGCCCCTCCCCGAAGCTCGCCGGCGGGCGGGATGTACACCAACACTGGCTGCCGAAAGTCCTTGAGGCTATCTACAATCTGTGCGCCGTACTTCAGTATTTCATTGTGCATATCGCGCATTCCACCAGAAAAGCCCCTTACTTACACTTAAAAGCCCTTTATTGGTGGGGAGGCAAGAAAGGAGACCTCCAATTAGCGAGTATAATCAAAGGAAGCTGTTCATTATTAACGTCGCGAATAGTCTGCGCCGTCTTGAAAGAGGAGTCCGGAAACCACACCTGTCCCGGTTGTACCACAACTCTACAGACCCATATGGCGAGTCACAACAATGGAGAGGTCGACATATAAACGGACGCACTTAGCCTCCGACTCGGGACTGGCTGGGTCTGCCGGATACATTACTTCCACACTTCTTGTCTCGACGGCAATGACTCCTACGGGTATGCCGCCCAATCGCGCTCTGCCAGTGACCACCGTACACGCCCATCCACCCAGCGTTTCCATCCAAGAACCCTTGTCGAACATGCCGTGTACAAACTCGTCGGGATTATACTATGGCGGTATTGACGGGACGGACGGAAGTATAGACAGCCTGCCGGTTACCGGATGGACAACTCCAGCAATCATGTGCCGAGGGTCATACGGGGCCTTGGTGGGCGTAAAATCGATCTAGAGCAAGGCAGATGCGGGCATCGGTGAATGGTATCCACAGGAACGCTTCTGTACAGAAACCAACAGGACGGTAGTACGGGTCCGTAGGGGGCAATGCCATTGGCAGCGGTGCGTTTCTTCTGTCTGGAATATACGACAGCCTGCAGTAATGAACGAGAGAACTGTGATGCGCGCTGGAGGATGCAACTATATGTGCCTACCAATCCACAGTCTTCGTAACGGCGGCAAAGTCGTCAGGAACGACGATGTGAGTGACGCCGTTGGGATACATAATTTTAGTGCCGCCAAGCTGCGTATTAGATAAGTAGACTCTGGACCCCAACATCTTGTTTAGCGCTTCCGAGCCGGTGAGAATAATGCTGGAGCCCTCCACCTGTATGACTCTCTGGCCACGCGCTTAAGCGAACGGGAGAGAAGATAAAAGCTGACAGACCTGGCCAAGTCGGACAAGATAGGCGCCAATCCCGACAGACCGGCAGGAAACGATGGAGAGCGTAAAAACTTCGTCGTAGGCTCTCGATGTCTCGCCGGCAGTAAGTGCAGAGTAGTGGAGGTTTTCCACACCAAGACCGTCCTCCTTGCCTACAGCGGCGAGAGTGCAGCTAATAGCCAATGGCGCTCATATCCAGAAATATAAGTAACCAATGACATCAGTGATCACGTAGCGCTCCTCGCCATTCTCCAGGAGCTTTTCCGCAAGAATGGAGTTGCTGCCCTTGAGTGATTCGTAGGCCGCGGGAGTGACATAAAGATAGTTGAAGCCTGTTATAAAGAAGCCTTTGCCGCCTGCGCTTCGCGAATTGGCCAAGCAGTAACCCTTAGACGGCTGCTTCTCGTCCACCCAACAAACTCTGAATTGCTCCAGAACTTCTCGGGCTAATCCGATTCGAGCACCTGAGTTAACAGAGATGTAAATGCGGGGAATGCCGAGTTTTCTGGAAAGTTCGGAGGCCTTTGCAGAGTCTGCGCGTGAGAACAATGCCTGCACCAATAGACAAAGGGAACCTTCAAAAACAAAAGGTCTTCCCTGGGGCCAAACGAGCCAATGCGGTGCGTGATGTCATTGCCAACAAGCATCACCTCGCGGCCATCCGGATATTCTGGAGTGCGAAAGGTCAGTTTGTAGGCGACCATACCGATTAGCGGCGGCTCGGGTAGGCTGAGAAGTGTTTTCATTGAAGAGCAACTAAGACAAGGTGAGTCACCAGCGCACCTGCCAGTCTCGACGAGGCTATTAACGTCATCGAGAGTATACTCGGTAAACTCGCAGAAGGAGGCCGGCATGGCACACGCGGGTCGGGATCTCTGCCATTGGAGGCGGACGGCCTGCATAAATAGCTAGAAGGGCGGATGCAGGTGCGTGAGGACGGCAAAAAAAACAAGTGGGCTGTTGAAAAACCTCGGGAAAGTCTCTAATGTAAGTGGTGTTGTTGCTTTGTGCTATAAAGCGGTTCCGCTGCAGCTGCGTTTTAGTGACGTACGGAGAAGACACGTCCTTCCCTGAACGCGGCAAAAGGGGTGAGATGGAAACTTGCAGGCGGCAGGAGAGGAAAGCAGAGACCTTCCCACGGCCCTACATTTCTGCGGTTCAGCGAATAAAACTTGGTGCGGCCAGCGCCATCATCAGACCTCTCCGCGTATACATAGAAGCGGAGGTCGTAACCCGATTCGTTATTCACGACTAGGCGGAGGACAGTGGCTATCTCGTCGCTATGGAGCCTCGCCACGAGTTTTATTTCCGCTTGGAGAACACTAACAACGACCAATGAAAGTTTCCCAAGCACCCCATCCACCAATAGAAGAGTCTTTCCACCGATTTTTCCAGAAGCGACGGCCGTGACGGAGGATAAGTTGCTTCAAAACTTCGAGCAGCGGGTCAAGGTCCAATGAAATAACTGGTCGACAGTAAAAAACTTGAAATGCCATGAAGTGGAGACTCTTGCCTGGCACAAAGTTAAGGAACAAATGATTGCAGTCCGTTTTGTAGTATCGCGGATCCTCAAAAACAACTTCCAGTTCATTCAAAGACTCCACCACCTGCCTTTCGCCTGCACGCCATTGGCTATTTTAGTGACAACTCAAAGCGGGCACAGATAAAGAGCCCAACCTTCACTCAAAAAGTACTCCAATGAGGCTTCCTTGGAGATCAAGTCAGCGTGCCTTATAATACTCCGTATAAAGAAGCGCCTGTCGTGGGCAGAGGGCAGACCGGAACCTTCAAGAAAGAAAGTCTTCAAAAGTGATTTTATTGGCAAAAATGTGGACCTTCCTTGGACTCGGAGAAATATAAGTGGATGTTTTTGTTGCTGGTGGGCACATAGTGATTGGTGTAGTTTCGCATTCGGTACAGTTCAAGCTCAAACGCCAATGCCGGCTCGATGTGCCTATAAATGGCATCCTCGAGCGAGCCAATCACGTGTAAAACAAACACCGGGCGTGGCGGCAACGCGAGGGGGTGTTAATACCTCGCAGTAGTGCAAGTGGGCTCGGAAAGAGAATATTTTCGGGAACATTTTCTGGCAGACAACGATAAAAGTGATACGCCGGACGCTTTTCTGAGCAAAAGTCTCTATGAAGAGCTGAACGAATGGAGTGAGGAGGGCCAGTAGCTCTGGGTCCTCCATGTCCTTTGCTGTGCAAACAATTGGACACGTGAAAAAGGCGGATCATAAAGTAGAGAGGCATGCCCCGAGGAATAGCTGTCAAGGTGACGTAGAGGAGATTTCGTTGGGGACAGAAAAAAGACTCCTCACTATTACTGTAGCCCATGAGATGCTCTAAAATAACTGGAAAAAAGCACAAAAAAGAATATTGGTAACTCGCTCGACTCGGTCATTAAAAAAGAAACCAGGCATGTGCTCACTAGCCTGCTCGAGTTGCTCAAAGGCAACCATGAAGCCGTACTCCCGCGTGGTTTTCTCACAGCATTGTTGTCTAGCACCCCCGATTGACTCAGAAAGAACTTCCTCTAAGTAGTTGATATTATCATAACCAATCAGGAAAGAAGAAAAATTAGTGAAACCGTTAAGCGAGTCGATGGTGCCGAGGGACAGCTCGGGGTGGTTGGGCGGGAAAAAAAAGTTCCATTGCACTAAACTTTGGGAAGCTCATTAATAATACGAGCAACTCACGTGACGATCAGTACTGTACTTGCAGCCATTGATCACAATGTTCTGGAGAGCCTGCAAGGAATAAGCCCGATAGGCCCGGCGGACGTAGACTTCGAGGGCTGCCAGTCGGATGGCGGAGTCCTCGTGCCCGAAAAAAGCAGTCAGGGTGTCCATTACGGCGCCGGATTGATTGACCAATCTGATCACAGCCAGTAAAGAGTGAGCCTATGAAACGGAGTCACCGGTGACAAAAGAGAACAGCTGCATGGCTTTCAAGCTAGATTGGCCCGTGCTCTCCACGGCTGCCTGTAAGTAAAGTTTCATATCGAGATAACGCCGCTGGAAGGAAGGCATGGTCGACTGGATGAGGATCTTCCTAGCTTTGGCCGCCACAAGACTGGCGACACAAAAATATTCATGATAATAACACGAACAATAGTGGTAATAACCTGTTCTCCTTTTGAGTTAGCGACGCCAACTGTTTCAGTAAATTTCGATCTTCCTCCAACAAGAAAGCGCCTATAAAGAACCGACGCAATGGGTGCAGCAACAGGGCGCCGGTTATCAATCCAATACCGTCGCTTCCACATAAATAGTCCAATATTTTCAGGACGATCACGTTTTTGTTGGCCACATTCCAGTGACTCTGCGCAATTTTAACGAGTTTGTCTACTTCGCTTCGTTCATGCTTTCGCAATTTAATAAGACCATCTTCAAACGTTTCCTGTTTATTAACAAAAGCATAAGGACACAGCAGCAACATGTGCACGGGCCAGCCATCCGCCACACCCCTCTTACTTGACAGAAAAGTCTTTCAATGCAGAAATATTGCTCCACCAATTCCAACAACGTGGTCTTGCAGTGGCCTTCAATACCGTTTCTATATTTGAGGATATGCTGCCCAGTAAAAATCAATCACCTCCAGAAGCAGACCAATCATTCTTCAGATAACCTGAATGAGCGGCGTGAAGGTGGCAAAAAATTGGTCGTCTTCGCCCTTTCTGAGGGTTGAGGCGTGCCGATCGAGGGCACTAGCAACAGCCTGCGTTGGAAAAGTGGCGAACACACTGCCGATACTGTTGGCGTAATCCGCCAGAACGGCGTTGATGGTGACTTCCACATTGGCGGGGACGCGCCCGTCCAGAGACGAGAGGGCCTCTTGTATTTCCAAAAGCGGTAATGCAGGATCGTTCAAAGCTTTCACAAGTTCATGGAAGGTTTCTTTATAGAGGCAAAGAAAAAGATTACAAGCTGTCCATAAGTTTAATAAACAATATTAGCCAATAATATGTGAGAATCACCGAAAATATATTTTGAAAATAACGGCTCCGGGCATGAATATCCGTCCATGACATAGCGTAACGCCGTATAACGGTTGTTTTTGATTTCATGAATCTTCAACGTCAATGAATTACAATGAAAACAAAAATACTGAATAGAGGAATACTTTGGAGCCCTCTAAGGAAGAAGTGTAGCCTGGCAGACGGCCGGAATAAGTGGTAACGGTCTTTTTACTGGCTGGATCGTCTAGTAGCAACTTTGCCACAATGTCCCCGTTCTTAAGAATCGATCCTATCGGGCACAGCAGCCAATCAGCAAAGGATATTCTGGCCTTCCAAATAATTAGCCCGACCCGCTGGAAGAGAGTAGCGCAGGATGCCGGACTCCTCAGAGATCAGCGGTATAATCATCTTCATGACTTCAAACTCGGCGAATGACTGGCCCGCTTTCACGCGACTTCCCTAAATATAATGAAAGGATTCATAGAACGTCCCATTCTATTGGCCCGCGCTACACCAGCGCACGTATAGGGCCGAGCTCACCAACTAGTATTTGATCAAAAGCAATAATAACGTCTGGAACGAGATAGCGCATCAGTTTCCCCTGGGAGTTAACCCGGACCACAGACGGATCATTGTCCTTTAGAAAAAGCGCGGTTTTGCCATCTAGAAATATGGTGAACGCATAAATGTTGGGTAGTATTTAAGAGGGGGACCTAAAACTATGCGGTATTTGTCCACTTCATCGTTCATGTAGAGTATGTGGCTCTGGTTATTCAAGAGAATAAGCGAGCCTGGCGGTAGGCGAGCTTGAGTCAGCCAATAACTGAGAAGCAGCAAGGCAACCTCCGTCGTTTAGCCTTTGAAGCTCGAGTTCCAAGTATTCATCCCTTCCTATTCGAGGAAAGAGAAGGGCAGAAGCACGACCACGCGACTAGAGAGGACTCCGTACCAGCCAGTGCAACAATATACACGGTTGGGCCCATTGCCGAAACCTGAAACTTAAACCTTTCTGATTCGTAGATAATCTCCTCCTGAATTGTCGTCGAGAGCAAATTATAGTCTCCAATTTGTCCTTTTTCTAGCGAACTAAGGGAAAGAGGGTAGAATCAACAAACAACGATAGACACGAGTTCCTTACCGTGAAAAAGACTCCACGCGGGCCTTGAGACGGAGGGAGGCCATGTGCACCGCCGTGCATACAACAGCCGTCATTTTATCCGGTTTGTCGGCTTTGATTTTTTTTCGGATCAGCTCGTCGAGCCAGCCGGTATCGATTTGGTTGTTTATGAAATCGTCTGTTTCGAGAAGCTTCCAAAAACTCGCACGTGAGCAAGACGAGCGCTTCATTAAAATTTAACTACGTATGAACTTTGATTAGATATTCCACGATCGTTCGAAAATCGCCCCGAATCGAGATTTCCTTGAGCGCCACGACGAGATTTCTTCCGTTGATGCCAATAAGCAGTCGGTCGGATTGGAAGAAATAAGATGAGTACTGCCTGGCTCGTTCGCGATCCTCTCCCCAAGCAAACACGTGCCCGAACTGAGAGTCCGCATACTCGTGCAGTCCGCCTGACGCGGTTACTGAGAAATAGCCCCACACGTTCGTGGAGGAGCGGAAATTCAGTTCGGCCATCGACCCGCTACAGAGCAAGAACGTGATCACAACGAAACATGAAGCAAAAAACAGACAACTTTGAGGGCTTGAAGCCCTCATCTGGATTCTCTGCAGTGATTCGAGTGGCAATCACGTGACCATGAGGCAGTTTCCGTCGTGAAATATCGTCGAAGTCGATGGGGCCTACCCCGCAAGGATGCTCGTTGTAGAGGAGGCGGACGTCCTTCATGCGGTGGAGTGGAATTCCCATGGCGATCTGCAGCTGCGCGGCAGGAAGGTTGACGTCGGAGACCATTTCCGTGCAGGGATGCTCCACTTGCAGTCGTGGATTCAGCTCCAGAAAGTAGAAGTTGCTCGTCACCTCGTCGAACAAATACTCCACCGTCCCTGCGCTCACGTAGCCTACAAGAGTCGCCAGCCGTACAGCCGCCTTCTCCTGCAGGACCAGAAAAGGCGTCACGGCGGCAGAGAGTCAAAAAAAAAGAGATGAGTCTACCATTTGATGGAAAATTTCTCTGGGCGCGGCGGTGGCAGGTGCCTCCTCGATGATCTTCTGGTGGCGTCGTTGGACTGCGAAGAGTCGTCTCGATTCTCATACAACGTAATAATAAGAGAACCCACCGGAGCAGTCGCGCCCAAAAAGAGCGATGGCGCTTCCGTAGTGATCCGCAAGAAGCTGCACCTCCAGATGTCGGCTCCGCTTGGCGAGCTGCATCACAAAAAGCGGAGAGCCAGGCACCTCCACTGCATAGACAATTTAATAATAATAATAATAAAACTTGGAAAATTGGCACATACGCTGAACTTGTTCGAAGAGGGACTTGAAGTCGTCCTCGTTGGCTACTAAGCGGATCCCTTTGCCACCGCCGCCCTCAGAGGCCTGCAAGAGGAGCTCAGAAGGGACAGGGCCACCACAAAGTCACCACCACGCAACTTTGATCATCACTGGAAAGCCGATTCTTCTCGCAGACGCAAGCCCCTCGGTCACGCTGGAGACCGCTCCGCGCATGTAAACTTCTTCGGGGATTGTAAACGGTTGCTCGACGCTGGAAGAGTTTGTGTTCAGTGGGATAGTCACGCCAGACCCGCTAGATAATTTGATCAATATATATAGAATAAAACAAATAAATTTCGACCTCCATGGGAGAGTAGGCACGCCGGCGGACTGTGCAACTATGGTTGACGCAATTTTATCGCCTAATCACAGAAAAGATGCAGAAAAATATTTGAAGCTACAAATTTTTTAGAAAAACTAATATTTTTTAACTAGATAATTAAACATATTCAAACATGACTTGAACTAATCTGTCATAATAAGGCCTAAATTATTACTAAACGCCTTTATTGACTTAATATTATAATCTAATTACTACGAAAAAGGTATATTTATGCAAAACATTGATAGTAAAAATATAAAATGACAGAAAATACCCAAAGAGGCCATAGCACTGGCTGGAGGGCCAATAAATATAATGCCGTGACCTTTAAGCAACTCCGGTAGCTTGGGATTTTCAGAAGCATGGCCCCAACCAGCCCACACAGCCTTTAAAATTTAATAGTGTTTCATGTAAAACACATTTATTCTTTTACAATTGACGCTTAAAAAAGATAAAACTTTTATTTTAGGTAGAAACCTGAACTTTACTCTTTTGAGCTATGTCTAAGATTATTTTAACATTAGCGTAGTTGTTACAGTTCGAAGCCCCAGGAACGCGCACGTAACTATCCGCCATTTTTATATATTCTGAGTTGACTTCAATATCTTCAGGCGTGGCCATCACTACAAATTTAACGGCACGTTCATCTCCGAAAACTTCATAACACCATTTTCGGATGGACCTTATAAATTTATATTTAAAGACAATATCACACAAATTCAACATAAGAATTGTTACTGTTGCACTGTTACCTAATGCACTTTACAGCAGCTATACCATTATTAGCTATAAGTACACTTTTAATAGGTGTAGTCCCTCCCAAATTTTGTACAAAATTTTTTATAGAATTAGAAGCTTTTCCCTCCGGACCTTCCACTTAAAAAATAAATTTAGACGGTCGTTGAAAGGAAATTTAAAATTAACTGTACCTTTAGGTGAAGATGACATCTTTATAGCCATTGTTGCAAAGTAAGCTATTACTTTAATCACCTGTAACGGTTCAGTGTTGGCCTGACTAATAGCTCAATAGCTGTTAATAGCTATTCGTTGTTAAGGGGCAAAATTTAACGTGACCTCGAAAACTTTCAAGTTTTTAAGTTTTAAAAGTTTTATCATGTGTAGTTAAAACATATATTTGATATTATTGTAAAAAGTAAACGGTTTAACTATGACCAAGGGAATGGCTTCTTTTATATAACTTAATCCTTATTTTTGTTATGTTTATATGGAGAAGGTACAGGAAAGTGCTACTATTTATATAGTTTTGTTTACCTCCATCGTTTTGAAACAAAATCAAATAAACAAAAGCATCTCTGTGGACTATGTCTCATGATTAATTTAAGGTAATGTTAAAGTCTTAAGTTAACTAATATAGTTACACTTTATTAATTAAAAAAATGAGATAATGTAATATTATATATATGTTGTTATTAGCTATTTATAAGCTTACGATTGCTATAATAATTACTTCATGCTCTTTAGTCGAAAAGAAGTTGCTCATTTATGACTTAAATATTACACCATATGTATATCGTCATTGTGGTATATTGCTGGTACAATAAAAAACTGTACAGTTATATCGATCTTAGGCGTGAATGGTTTTCGTTGTGTTTATAATGGAGCGGAATGCCCTAACCTTAACCCATTTAGTAAGGTCACTACGTTGCAAGCATATATTTTAAGCGGACATAAGATAAACTTCTGAGCACTCTAAGTGATGAAGACTATCCTCTTTTGTAAATGGATAAAAGAAAGCTGTTTTTCTTACCGTGGTATCTGAAAAACCTGTGTACCCTTATGACGAATTAATCGCACGCAGAGGTTTAACTCTTGAAAGTAGGCAAGTTCATAAAGTTTCTTAGCTCTAAAAAAAAATTGACTTTTCAATTTCTTAGCTCTCTTGGAGTCAAGTTCAAGGGGATCATGAAAAACTCTTGTACATTCAAGCTACCAAAGTTCAGTGATTCATAGGGTTTTAAACAACATACTCGTTAGAGGGTTAACGAGAATTGTCGAATTAATGTACCTTTATAACGGATTAATCACCAACAGCTTGAGGTTTCGCTTTTGAAGTGGCGGTAAATCTTAACACAGACTTCAACTCTTCTTTTTACTAGCACAGTGCGCCCAGTATTATTTTAGCGCTTAAGGTGTATTCCCTCTCGTTTAAGGGCTGGTGCACAAGTGCCCCTGCCATACACCCTATTAAAGTGTATCTTGCCTGTTCCAAACCCTAAAATAAGGGAGCAGGACAATTTGGTTTTGGTCCCCAGGGTAAGCAAGTGGACCGCTGTCGCATTTAATAAAGTTTATACACTACCGCTTTTTTGGTTATTAAGTTTCATCACCACATTTGTGAGAAGAACTGTGGAGAGACAGTCTACCATACTAAATAGAGTTTGCATGCACACCACCTTTTTTTTTGATACTTTAAGTTGTAATTAATTACATGGAGGTGTGCTGTGCTTTCTAACGGATTAAGGTAATAAACAATAATTGCAGTTTTATAATGTTATCTAATCGTTTATAATATTTTATGGACACGTTAAGCCTACTATATCAGTTGAAAATTCTCAGTTGTTGCAGCAACATATAAATATCTACTAAATATTAGGGCTGCGCAATGGTTAAAAATTATATACACAATAAACTAAGGTTATTGTCTGGGATCGACCCATCTCCCGTCAGCGGTCGTCAAAGGGGGACGAACCCGCTTTTCTGCGCCGTCGAGGGGCGTCCGTGAGGCCTTGCCGGAGCACAAGTTCGGTTTCAGCAAGGACACTCTACGGGACCCAATGCTTTTCCTCCTAAGCAAATAGACTATCCGAGCCTTTTACTTTAAGAAGGTAAAAGGCGCTATCTTCCTAATTTATTAAGGCTTTTTACTGAGATTGGTATGAAGGTTTGCTGTACAAGCACGAAACTTCGCCCCTCGTGACTTTTACAATGTGCGAAGTCATATATATTTAAAAGATAAAGTCTTCAGCGGGTGCATGGGCGCTGCACTGTCACCGCTGCGTTCTCTAACATCAGGGGCCATACGGAACTCTTTATCTCGCCCTTACTGTTTGCAATCTATGTGCGAGGCGTGTTCATGCTGGGCAGCTCTCCATACGGATTGCCCTATACGCCGATGATACAACGGTTTACTCGTCCTATAAGTCGCACGCCCCGCTGTGCCAGCATCTGCAACGCTAAGAGTAATGCTCTTATAGTAACGAAGATACACATCACCTTAACCTTTTGATGGCGTTAAGACCCCGGGGTTCTCACAAGCGAAAGTCGTCGTCGACATCAAATTCTCGTGGTTGCCGCAAGTGGTTACTTTCTGGCTAAGGTCAAGTCAACGACTGAGGCTCTTTAACCTTTATTATGCAGTTAGAGCGAGCATTCGTAGCCCATCAAACGACGGTTGCATGTGCTTTGCCTTTAGCCAAAAATGACATACGCGTCTGCTGCTTAAATTCTGTCTCTACGGCAATAGCGTTCACACACCATTGAATCAAAACAAGTTGCTGTGAGCAATGAACAAAGCGTCGTACTTTGCGCGAAATGAAGCTCTCTAAATAGAAATAACTAACAACAAAACACAATGCACTACACAAAATATGTTTTTAAATCAAATAATTACGTCAACTAGTCGAGAAAACTACAACTATTTCTTACACCAAAAAATAGATTCATATAATTACTTATTAGTTCATATAATATAAGACGGTCATGAATGTAATAGACATAAGCAAAAAACAACCATAAATATTTTAGAAATAAAAAATTACAATTAGAGACCTCAATTAAAACCGCAGGAGAAAATGATTAGTTGATAAACCAATCAGTAACCAATAATTTAACTAATAAAAAACAGAACCAGAAATTAATTTTTAAATTATTTCACAGGCGGATAGTTCCCGAGAGCTAGTTTATTGTAAATATATATATGATATAGAATAGTTGAAGGACTAAAATTAAATTTATTTGACAATTTTAACACTTTAAAACTAATAGCGAGTGAAAACAATACCTAAAATTTGGTCAATTCGCTCATAATAGGCACAACCTCGCATGAGTAACCCTCACATTACATATAAAAACGATAACTCAAATAAATTGATCCCAGTTTTTTTAATTAAATAAAACAAATAAATAATAATGGTATAAAATACATTAGTTTTACAAACATGGAAATAATTTTTTTAACCTTTTGTTAATAAAAACGGTGAGGAAACTGAGAAATGAAGTGTGGTAGTTTTTATAAATAGAGACTCACCAGCAGCCGACCCAAAGTATGCTGTGATTTAATGCAAACCATTGCCCTTTATGAGAGATAGTCAGGCACACTAATCACTTGTTGGTGACGAGCGCATTTACCAGCCTTGGGCTAGGAAAATTTAAATTCCAGACTAGAATGTGGTTTTCTGTGAATTTATACGCCTAATTGAGTGCTCGAGTATTCGAAGTTGTTAACACTTCGAAAGTCATTTATATATAATGTTAAAATAAATCAAGCGGTTTACATCTCGGTATCTTTGTTTGTTTATTTTGCTTCGGGTAATCAACGCAATCTAACATAGGAGCGGTTTTTTTGGAGGTAATAATCTAGTAAGATTATTTCCATGTATATGTATATAAACCCTAATTTTACAATAAAGTCGTAAGCTTTTGCTTTCCAGTTGCTGCTCTCCTGTTTCTTGTTCTTAGTAAACGACATTAGTCGGTTTATAGAGTCTGCATACCGTCAGTCGGTTAGGTCAAACTATGATATTTTTAGTATATAAATTAAACCTTCCTAAAGATTTAACATTGTATTATGAATAATTTGAGGTGTATAAAGATACAATAAGTTGGAACTCTAATTATAACTTTTTAAATAACTTAACGAGGTACGAGCATTTGGTCAATTATTTCATTTGCTTTTAAAAACACTAACCAGATAGGAAGACATTGGTGGTACATAAAAATGGGAAACTACTAAGTTTTTTGCTTCCTTCCACATATATTTCATATATGTATTTATGCGCAACACAATTGTTTGTAAATAATTAAAACCAAAAACGTTTTTAGGCCTAACTACTATAAATGAGGAAAGATATCTTTAAAGTCAATTTTGCACCCAAAAAAGGGGGGAATAAAAGTGGGGGGGAAGGTTTAACAAGAATAAATTTTTAGGAAGTTCTTATGTTGGCCAAAATTAAATTATTAGCGGTGTCCCATAATATTATGGAAGCTTGTCTTTGTTATGTTTACTATTCAAATAAAAGAGAGTTTGACAACTGTTTGCAACTTTGTTAGCTGAAAATATGAATTGTTTAAAAGAAAAAATGCATTATTTACTCATTCATGGTTACAATTTTAAAAACTATGTTGGTGGCAGCTCCAATCTTTTCCCGCCAAATTTTATTCGTATATAACCTAATAATAAAAGAACAGAACAGAAAAGAACAATACTAAATGTTATATAGATTTGTTAGTTGATTGAAGAGACACCAATTTAAAATCACAATTAGTTTTAATAATTATTAATTATTTTGCTGAACCCCAAACAAAGGTAAAAAATGACAGAAAACGGAGGAAATATAACAAACTGGCAAAACATTATATACTCCTTAAGAAAGGGTAGATAAATTCTTAGACTCCTATTATATTAAGCATAGCATTTATTAGAAGTGTAGAGAATATTACGAGTAAATTACTCCTAACTATTTATTCGCATCAAGACGTAGCAGATGCTATAACCCTTTTAAAATACGTGGAATCCGAAGAGTTACCAAAGGCCAAGGATCTGCTCACCAAGGGCAAGATCTTTCTTATTATACACATTACTGTACAAAAAAAGTAAAATTTGGTGTTCCATAAATATATCATGCTACTTAAAACTTTTTAACCTTTTGTATGAAAATTAAGACTATTTTTACTATAAACTTACCAAGAAATAAAAAATTAATACCATCAACTAACTAATAAAAAAGTTAATTTTAAAAAACAGAAGAAAAAA